GCACAAATGACTAGAGAGGAAGCCACAACACATAAGGCTGTTCAATTCATCTGATTTAATCATAACCAATTTACTTCTTAAAAGTTAATTTGCCGAACCAGTAAATGGTCTAATGGTTACATCGCTGGACTCCCATGTGGCCAACCGCAGAAGTCCCAGACCAGGAGGCTTGAAACTCACACCAGTTGTGTGTGTGTGTATGCCCAAGATCCCGGGAGAAGCGTGGAAAAGAAGGGATTGTGGCATGGCCATCCCCCCTGGTGGGGGTGATTTATTGCTTTCTGTCTCTGTCTGTCTCTTTGGCGAGTGCACTCGCCCTATAGCAAAAATCTAATTTTTTTTCAAAAAAGTTAATTTGCTATTGATATTTAACTACCCCGATTTGAATTCAGATATGACTTTATATCTGGAATTCTATGTGGGAAAGATCATTTTGGTGGTGGGAGTGGCCAAAAAACAAACCAGAATGCTACCTACCACGGCTATAGAATATTTCACCGCTAAGAAGGCAAAGACAGCATGTGCTGCTCAGGAATGCACTGAGCACTGCTGTGTGAATAACCAGGTGGGTTTATCATTTCTTTCACTTTTAGATATGCATGCCATCTAAAAATTGACAAGGTTACATACACTATTTTTCATTCTGCTGTTGATGGAAAAGGGCTGAGTTATCAGGCAGTACAGGTTGAGAATCTCTTATCCAAAATGCTTGGGACAAGAAGTGTTTCAGATTTTGAATTATTTAGAATTCTGGAACTCTTCCACATATAAAATGAAATATCTTAGAAACAGAACCCAATTCTAAACAAGAAATGCATTTATGTTTCATATATGCCTTATATGCATACCTGAAGATATATATTTTCTCTTTTAGTTTTTAGGAGTTTTTACCTTAGGGTGTGTGCACTCATGGGAGAAAAAGAGAAAGAGACAGTGAGCAGGAGAGTGAGAAATTACCCCTGGGGGAATGGCACACCAATCCTTTCTCTTCCATTCTCTTCCTGGGATCTTGGGCATGCACACGCACGTGCCCAGCATGTGAGTTTCAAGTCACTGGGTCCAGGACTCAAACCACAGTCAGTCATGTGGGAGCCCAGCAACGTAACCACTATACCATCTGCTGGCTTTCATTTACTTCAATCTACTTTTTAATTTTTTTCCATGAGCGAAAGAAACAGAGAGAGACAGTCATCCCCAACAAAATCCACTCCTGGTAAGCTACCCTCAGCCTCACTTAGGCAGGACCATCGGCACACACTCATATGCCTGGCGTGTACAGACAGATTTCAAGACTCAAACCTGAGACCTGGCCAGGTTGATTTGGCATCACTGTGTGTCACCACTGCCCTACTACAGCTGGCCTGAAGGTGATTTTACGTACTATGTTTGTACTGTACACTTTGACTGCTCTCATCATGAGAGATCAATATAAAATTTGGACTCATAGCTTCACAACAGCACTCAAATATTTTTTAATTGCAAAGCATTGTGGATTTCAAACTTTCACTTTAGGGTTGCTCAACCTGTACTAAAGATGTGTTAATTCTTTCTTAACACGCTTCGGTATACTCCGTCACTATAGAAACTCTTCTTTACATTAAAAAGGTGTAAACTAGTAAGTCTAAACAATTAAAAAAAATTGCTAAGCCTTTGAAAAATCTTTCAAAACACACATTTCTGTGTGTATTTTTTTTCTTTTTATGAACTATAATGTTCCTCATTTTTTCTTCCTCAAAGGAAATTTACAGACAAGCATGACTATCTACTTAGAGCAAAGTGTATCTTTCACAGAGGGAGCCAACTTCACATGGATTCAGTGATGATCCTTTGAAGGAGCCAGAAGAGCCGTATCATTTTATCCTCATGCATGACCAAGGGGTATAAAATCCCCATTCCACCTCTAGCATTGGTGTACAACCCACAAACACATACACAAATAGCAACACAGAGGAGATCTAGAAAACTAGAGGGCCTGTCAATTGAAATTTTCCACTCTAAAACAATTTCATTAGAAATGGCGGGGCTGGAAACGATATTTTATAGTTGACTTCCACCAAATTACAATGCAGCTAGTATTCAAAGTCTCTATTATGTTTGGCAGACGTTTTTGAGACCATTTTTATTTACTCCAAACCCTATCTGAACAAAGCTAGCACAGGCCCTTTGCACTTTTTTACATCAAGTGCTTCACGCAGAAACTAAGCCATGGGCCTCAAAGGAAGCACTAAGAAAAAACAATGGGACAGCACTTACAGATTGGTGGAATTGTAGGGATTTAAAATTTCTTTTTTATTGTACAATTGCACTTCATTACTGTGTTATCTTTAAAATGTAATAAGTACAAACTGCTTCAGTAATGATGGAAAAGCCTCCTCTGCTTTAATGAAATCTTTTATTTGCTACTGAAACTTTTATTATTTCCAAATGGTAACATAGGCAAGAAAAATAATCACTTCCTTTATTTGAGAGAAAACTTTGGCAATTAGAATAACTTTGTTCTTTGGTGAATTTAAAGGCATTTATATTTGTTATATTTATGCTTGCTGTTTTCATTTATTTTTGTGAACTAGAAACAAAAAAATATACATGTATATGCACTAGTATAAGATAATTCTGTAATCATATATCAAAATCAAAATTCTGGATGGCTATATACAACTAACTACAGTCAGATGTTTTGATCTGGATAAGAATTTCTACATGTTTAGGCTCTTTTAAATATTTTTAAAGTTGATCTCTTCCATGGGTGAGAGAGACAGAGAGAGACAGACAGACAGAAAGGACCCCCCCACAGAATCTTGATACAACCATCCACCCCCAGCTTCAGCTAGCCCTGAACCATGGACAAGCAAGTGCCTGGACTACTCAGGGAGGTCTCCAGACTTGAACCAAGAAGGTTGTCATGTGGGATGTGGGATTATCTCACAGAATGTCACATTTTACTGCTGTGCCACTACTTAACCCCTAGGTTCCTTTAACTACTTCTGATTTAGATAAGAATTTCCATATCTCAACTGTTAACCTTGTGAGGTAATGCAGTATAATGATTAAGGGCTCAGGCTCTAAAGGTGGACTGCCTGGCTTTGTATGTTGTCCCTGGCTCTTCCAGTTTGTCACGTTTAGAAACTTCTTGGTCCTTGGTCTTATCTGTGAAAATTGAGGTGACCAAAACCTGCCTCATAGAGTGGGTGGGTAGAGTCAATGAGATATTTCATGTAAAACCTTAGAATAGAGCCTGGCGCATGGCAAACACTTGATACATGTTTAACTCTACCATGTGTTCAATATTTGAATACATGTACCTCTAGATTGGAGGCATCATCAGGTGATGCCACTCATTCAACAAGTCTGTTGAGTTTTACTTTACTCAGAACCATCCAACAACGTAAAGGTCAATAAGATATAATAGTGGTACTTACCACCTTAGTGCAAAATATTTGTTGCTTTCTTAATATCTTCTTAAAGTGTGCCTACTATAAGGCATATTCTTTCACTATTCTCTTTTATTCCAATGTGCTTGGAATCAATGGCACTTCAGAAGAATTTAATTTCTAAAGTCTTAATCATGAGCAATTTCATAAACAGCTACAGGTTTTTCTGCATTTTAAGAGAGATAATTAAATCATCAAATCAGGTTCTAACAACCAAAATTTGGAAAAGCTTATGAAGACAACCATGACTGACATTCATTTTCGTGAATGTGGACTTGTTGCAAACAGCAGCTGCAAAAAATAGTGCCATTTACCTCCCACATTGACCTGCTGCTAACTAAAACTGCACATCAATGCAGATCAAAATGTTAAAGTATCTCAACCGAATTCAATTTGAGATGAAATAAGACCCATTTAGTCATAACTACATTACTTTCCAAAAAGTTGTGAAGTTGACTTCCAACATGGCATCTTATACAGCATTAATTTTTTTGAACATTTTCATTTATGTCATTACACTCAGAGAATTCATTAAAAAGCAAAATCTTAAAGTTTGACTATAAATTCCAAGCACAACGACTAATGTGATGTTTCAGACATCACCAACTTCAAATGATTTTAAATATGTTGTCCTCTGCTAATTTGCTGCTCTTGAAAATGTGCAATAAATGCAATTAAAAAGGAAAGCATTTTCAAATTAGTTGCATGATCAACTAGGATATTTATCTGCTTACTAAATGTATCATGATAAAAAGCCATTTAATGTGCATTACATTGTCTAATTCAGAAGGAAATTGGATATTTTCCCTTCCAATAAAAAAGAAGATATCGCTTTTATTTTATTTTATTTTATTTATTTATTTTTTGGCAACAGCCAATAATGACCGTGTTAACTTTCGAGAATAGATTTAATGTTACCGAAATAGGTCTTCTGAGAAGCCCCCTGCCTAAAGCAACAGGAGATGAACTCAAAGACAAGTTACCCCCTCCTCCTTCCTTTTCTGTGGCATACCACCTTCCTTGGTCAAATATGCTTTTAAAAGACCCCTATGATGATCCTTTGAGACTGGGCAGGTAAAAATCCTGAAATGAGCGCCCCCCCTACACACACACACCTCCCTCATCATTGAAAACGCACACCTCATTTATATGCAAGCCTCTACAGTGAGAATTTATTTCTCAGTCTCAATCTCCAAACGAATGCGTATTTTGGTAACCTCTACATTTAAACACATATGTTCCGCACCGTAGGATCTTCTTGATCCCAGCTAACATCTCTGCTTAATGTATTCGTTTTTCACATCCATTTTTTAATCCTTCCAGGGTGAAAATTTCAAAGGGGGCGAACATCGGTGAAAGCGAGGAAAGGGAGGGAGGAGAAACGGTGCCTGGGATTTCTGCCATCCTCGCCGCAACCCAGAATCCGTATTATTTTTTTTTTTCCCTCTCCCCAGCCCTCCCTCTCGCTCCCCCTCTCACCCCTTCCCCCTGCAGCAGGAGGGAGGAGGAGGGGCCGCTGGCTGAAGCCGCCACCTGCCGCAGCGTGGAAAAGCTCCAGTTGTCACTTACCCAGCGGGGTGAAAATGGCTCATTTTTGCAGGATTCCTTTTGGACCCCGCGGCAGGTGCGGGGAGTGGGTGCGTAGGGCCCGGTGGGCTCTGGCGTCGCGACAATAGTGTTTGCTGGGTGGCTCCGCACTGCGGTCGCCTGTGCGCTGGGCACCTGGGCTGGGCCGCCGCCGCCCCTGGGCGCCCAGGCCAGCCGCAGGCTCCCCGGGCCCCACCT